CCCCCCCCCCCCACACCCGAAATTCGGGTCTTCGGGTTGGGTTGGGGTGGTCTGGTAGGTAGTCAGTCCTGATTTTGCTGCTCCGGGGGCGGCCTCGTTGCTAATTTTGGCCAAATTCGGTTAAGGTCAGTCTGCATAGGGTTAAAAACATATGATTGAGTTATTTGTTGGTGGCTTCAAACAAGGAAAACTTGTGTTTTCTATTATTTGATCCTGTACTCAAGCAAACTATTCGACATAATTTAATCCCTATATTGCGAGGTGAATTAATTGCCAGCTGGCGCGGGGGACCCCGAGCGGGCCCCGAGCGGCCGCCTGCAGCCTCGGCTCTGCGAGGTGGCCCACGGCCTCGCGGCGCTGACGGCCTCTCCGCCGACCCCCCGCCGCTGCTGGCCCGGATGTCGACTGTCTCGTCGATTGTGTGGGCGCTCCGGGACCCTCCTGTGGTCCGCGTGTGGCCCCACACCTAAGGCGATGCTTAAGAAACCTTAAGTTTTCGGCCAGAACCTCGATGATTCTTGATGTTTCCATGTGAATCCTGAGATTGGAATGGAAAGGTTGGGTTTTTGTTCAAGTTCTGAGACTATGAATTTCTTAACCCATGATTTCTTAAGCATTTCGCAGGGTGTAGGCTTTCACTCCGGCGCATGGCCCGGCCCTCGGCCACGGGGAACACCTCACCGCGGTGCGCGTGCGGTTCGGCGCCCCCTTGGCATCGCTCGGACGTGCGCTTTTTTCCTTCGGCGAGGACTCTCGAGGAGCATCCTTGATCATTTCGCGAAAAAGCCACGCACGAAACCGAAAAAAACACAGAAAATGGACGTCCGAGCGATTGCCAGCCCCCGCCATCGACGATGAGATACCGTGCCCGCGGTGCGGCATTGGGGCACTCGACCAGACGCTCCCCCCTTCGGCCATTACGAAAAGCGCGACCACGCGACCACGCGCTGGCGCCCCTGGCCGACCCTGGCTGCGGAGCTGAAGCTCCTGTGCTGATGCCGTCCGTACCGCTGCTCCGCCCTGCACGCGTCCTGGCCAGCACGGCCCTCGTGGGCTCACCAGAGGCGCTCGGCTCGAGGCGCTGACGAATACCGCTGCGACGCCACGCGCGGCCAGAAACTCGGCGAGTACAGCGGCCAATTCGTGGATACGGCGGAGGCGGTCATCACGTACGTGCCTGTCGTGTGGTCCGCCTACGGCCGCGCCCGCTCGGAGGCGCAGGCGGCGGTCCAGACGTTGGCAGTTCGGGCCGACTGGCGCTGTGGGTTGCGCTTTCACCTGCCGCTGCTGCGCCCGACCGAAGCGGCCATCGGCATCGCAGTCTGGCGGCGCGCGGCCGACAAGGTGCATGCGTGCCTCCTTGCGCTGCCGTTCGCCGAAGAACCGCGGCTGATTTTCGCCCAGGCGGCGCCTTGGTGGGAGTAATCAGAGTGCGGGCCGCGGGGCGGAGCGGCGCTGGGCTGCAGAAGGGGGAGAATAGAGTGTAGTAGCGGTATCAGTAATTTTGCGCCTCCCCAGGAAAAGGGTCCCTCTTGGGCCCTATAGGTGCACGAAAGATGCGCGCATGTCTTCGCCCCTTCCGTTGGTCGCTCCCCCCAACTACGGCCCCGTATTACGAAACGCTCAAAATGAATGCAGGGGTCTGCCAGAACGTTGTCTAGGCTTGAAGTTGGCTGGGAAGACGAGGTGGGGCGGCATCACTGGTTCCAGGACTTTTTCCGGTCGCGCCGCCAGTTTTGGCTAACCACGCTTCGCGCGACACGCTAAGCGCGCCCCGGTTCCCAGGCGTCATCATCCCGAGTTTTTCCCAGCCCGGGGGGGAGGTACCAGTGTACAAAAATCTCGTTCTTTGTCTCTTTTGGGCAATGTGCCCCCTATTCCCCTCCTGATTGGTTTTCGAGGTGCCCATCCAGAGCAAACTGACCCCCCGCCGCCTCCAACTTGAGGAACCAGTGCGATCGAAGTTGTTACGGGAAGATTGGCGTCGAAAGCCGACAGCATGCATTGTTTGTTTCGGAGGATGTCTCGCTGCGCCTTTCATTTCGGCGCCCCCAGGGCCCTTCTGGAAGCAAGTGGTCCTGAACATTTGGGCTCCCAGGGCCGTCCTGGGGCCCCCAGGACTTCCAGAAACGATTCGGAATGAAAAACGAGTCCCGGGGAAGGCCTCCAAGGTATAGGACCCGTCTCCCTCAGGCTCATTTTGTTACGCCAAGATTTGCGAAGATGGTGTCAATGTTAATTTCGTGGGTAGTATTTGTAATGGTTGCCGCGACGTCATAGGAGAGCATGTGATTGTTGTCGGCTGTTTTCGCTCGGAGGCGAAGGCGGATTGAAAAAGGAGCAAGAAGAGTTTGGTTGATCTTGACAGGAGGAGAGGCCCAGACTTCTCTTCGCAGCCAGAGTGCGTAAGCAACTATGAACCGACCTCCACGACGACGACGACGGTCGTATGAGTTGCGCATGCGCCTGTGGCTAGTGCCCAAAGCGCGCACATGCACGAGCGCGCGTTCGCACGCGTAGGCGATCCACGCGAGTGAGCACGTGCATGTACACGTCGTCTCCAGGTCGGTGGTTATGTGGCGGCGGCCTGGACTCGGCGGCGAACCTGGGGGTGAAGTGAGAAGAGGCGGGCCTTTTCAGAAGGCCCAGAAGTCACCTGGCCTTCTGAGACATTTTCTGAGCCTTCCCCGAAAACTGAAGACCTTTCAGAAGGCCTGAGGCTTTATGAGAACCCCCGCCGCCTTCTGAGAAGGCCTGCTCCTTCTCACGTCCCCCACTCGCTCGCCGCCGATAGACTAGCGACCGCGTGCCGTCGCTTCCGCTGCCCCCTTCTCCAAAGTATCTAGGCCCACCAGATGGGGTCCGAGTAGACGGGGTCGGAGGATCGCGCCGCATCGCCGATCTATCGGTGATGCGGCTCGATGTGGAGCTCGATTCTCTCCGCGCTGGCGTCGCCGAGTCACCGCTGCCGTCGCTGTTGCATCGCCGACGCATCGCCGATGCACCGGCGATGCATCGGCGACATCGGCGATGCGGCGCGATCCGCCGACCCCATCCTTTCGGACCCCATCCAGGAGGCCTCTTTATACCCCGTTGGGCCACGCTCGCGTGGCCAGGAAGCCGCGGGCGGCGCTTCGTCCCCCTGCCGCGGGCGCAGAGGCGTGCACGCCTGCTCGGAGCCCTCTCCTCCGCTGCCGCCCTTCCGCACCTCCCGGCTCGCTGCCAGCGGCCCGCGCTCTGGACCTAAACTTGGGAACCCCCAAACCGGGTGGTGAGATACCAGGTGGCGACCTGGAATCCCCAAAAAGGTCACCGCTGGGCTTGGGGACGCGGGGTCACCACCGGGTTTTGTGACTCCTGGACCCACCAGTGTCCGGGACATTCTCGGAAAACCGCACGAGTCCCCAAACTGGGTGGTGACACCAAATCGCCCGAGACTCACCGCCAGGTGTTGTCACCACCACGTTTGCGGACTACCAATAAACGGTGTTTTGGTCATCTCGTTGGCCGTTCTGTTTTTCGTTGTGTTTTGCATGCAGGGTGAAGCGAAGGCAAAACACAGGAGAACGGAACACAAAGCGAAAACGAAAAGACACCGTTTAGGTTCAGCCCTGCCGCGTGCTGCGCGGCATGGCATGTTGCAATGGCCGCCCGGACCGGCGGTTCCCACCCCTTGCCCCGGAAGCGGCAGGGCTTTTTTTTTTTTTTTTTTTTTTTTTTTTTTTTTTTGTTTTCCATCATTTCCCAGTAAAAAAAAACCATATGTTCCGTGAGGACGGAAGCGGTGAAGAAACGACAGCCAGAAACAGCGAAAAACTGGTTCCGGAATTCGAACCGGAACCGAAATCGGCAAGAAAATCGCGACAGACTTTGAAGCAAAAACGGCGCCGGAACCAGAAACAAAAATGCCACAAGGGCACCCGTCAAAAAAAAGGTGCGTTGCCGTTTCCAAGGTCCACTAATTTAGCCTTCTGCTCGCAGCCGGTTTCCTCGGCGGCATCGAAGATCCGCGTCTCCGACGCCCCCACGGCCGAGGGGACCCGCGCAAAACGGTTCGCGTATTGCATTTCCGTCGTGTTGGGTGCACGCGTGGCTGTGTCGAAGATCCGTTCGTGCACGCTTCTTTGTGCCTGCGTCGTTGTGCGCGCACGGGGTGTACGTAGCCCTCGCAGTTGTGGATAAGGGTGCGTGGTCCCATTTCGGGGGGGGGGGGGCTTGGTCTTTGCCCTGTTGCCGACCGCTTCCTACAGGCTCTGCGGCACCAGATGTTCTTACTGTTCTCTCAGCAAGCCGTCAGTCGCCCCTGGCAAGTACGGATTTGCCCTTAGCGAAAGGAAGGTTGTACAAGGGTCCCGGGTGTGTCGGGCGGGCGGGCGAGCCCAGACGGCCGAGTCGGGCGGGCGGGTCGCTGGAGCGTCAGGCCCGCACGAGTCGCGAGGAAGTCTCCAGCGAGAGCGCGATGGCCAAGCAAATCGTGAGGAAGTCCAGGGCGAGAGCGTTTTTCTGAGTGTCGTGGACGCGGCGTCTGCATAAGTCGCGAGGGCGTCCCACGCGAGAGCGCGATTCCTGGGAAATTGCGCGAGGGCGCGTCGCGGGCGAGCGTCCCCTGGGCGGGCCGCGGGCGAGCCGTGCGCGGGCGGGTCATGGGCGCGCCGCGTGTTGCGGACGGATCGCGGGCAGGTCTAATCCGGCGGGTGGGTCGCGGGCTGGTGAGAGGTGTGCAGCACGCAAGAGGGTGACTTGCGTGACGGGGGGCGTTGACAACAACACAGAAGTGTTCCACCAAGTTTCGAATAACAGCGTAATTCAGATTGTTCGATTCCTTCGATCCGGTATGCGCGTGATGTGCACATGTGCTCACTTTCCGTGCACTCCCGAGGCTAGGCATGGCCCCTGCGCAAGGATGACACGCACACCTCGAGACTCGCCTTGCTACAGGGTCAGCTATAAAGATAGACTCGTCCCCGAAGGACCCAGGGAGCGGTGGCGTGGTGAACAAGATGCCGTGCAAGAGTTGTGGTCAGCCCTATAAGGCCGGCGGCACCGGCCCGGGCCGTCGTGTCTACGTGCGGCGTTTGGGTCTGCGAGCGTGCAAGCTGCGACTCGCATTACTGCAGCCACCACTTCCATCTCGCCTTCTCCCTCAATGTGTATCTGAAGACCTGCGCCCTCTCCCACTGCCCCGAGGCCAAGTGACACATTGTGGATATTTCGAGGGAGTTCAGGACCTCCTTGGGGTTCAGAAGGGCCAGGTTGGGCCATCCTCGATGAGCTGGGCGGCCCCTTTCGGGCACTCTGGGGGCACTCCCGGGCCGTCTCGGGCAATATCCGGCAGCAGATTCAGCTTGGATGTCCTGAGGACCATGCGGAAGGGAGTCGTCCAGAGTCTTCTTTGGACTTGTCTGGATGAAGCGCGAGCAGAGGCAGACTTGATGCTGGCATTGCCTCACAATTCACGCTGTTGGTCAGCTACCTGCCGACGAGTTGTCAACAAACCGTTGGCCCATGATCTTATCGAAGCAATCGGTGTTCTCTCAGAGCGTGAATTACCTCCCCCGCTTTCGCTTCCAGGCAAAACCAAGCCATACCACGCGTCTCCTCGTCAAGCGGCCTGTACAGGCCGCAATTTGGCATTGTTTGGTATCTCTTGGAAGCGGGGGTGGTCAAAAGCGAGGTAGGTTTGTTTTCCCCCGATTCTCTCCTGTCAGAGAGCTCTGTGTCAAACTTGGGCCCCCGCCGCGGGGGGCCAGGTTTTGATCCCAGCGCTTCGCGCCGTTCCCTCGACCCCCCACAGCACCAAAAGGAGCTGCAGGATGGAAAGAGCCGGGAGGGCGAGGAGGCGCCCAGGGAGGTCAGGAGAGAGCGGCATCTTTGTGAGGCTGCAGGTGGGCCACGGAGGCCTCCAAGATGCCGCAAGCTGGTCCAATATAATCTCCAGTATGCCTCAAGAGGCCCGGGGAGGAGATAAAGACCTAGGGATTGGGAGTTGAGGGGAGATGAAGGAACAGGCTTTTCAGCTAAATGGCAGGACGGCAAGGAGGATCCTGACGGGAGGATGAGATTCTTCGTTCCCAACCATTTTGTGGTGTTGGGTCCCGCGTTCCCCCGTCCTTCCTCCTCCCCCGAATCCTCCCTCCTCCAACATTATTTTCATCACCCGTTTCAGCACACCTTTCACACGTTTCGCGGCCCCATAAGGAGCTCCTCCGGAGGCCCAAGTGCTACCGCCTGCATGCGTCCCCCCACCCAGTTCAGCGCTTCGTGGCCCCATAGGGAGCTCCACCGAAGTCCCCAGTGGCACCGCCCGCATGCGTCACCCCTCCCACAGTGCAGCGTTTCGAGGCCCCAGACTGAGCTTCACCGAAGGTCCCAGTGGCACCGCCCGCATGCGTCGCCCCCCCCCAGTACAGCGCTTCGTGGCCACGTAGGGAGCTCCACCGAGGGCCCCAGTGGCACCGCCGCCCGTATGCGTCACCCCCACCCAGCACAGCGTTTCGTGGCCCCATATGGCTTTCCACTGAAGGCCCCAGTGGCACCGCCTGCGCGCGTCCCCCCCACCCAGTACAGCGTTTCGTGGCCCCAGGGGGAGCTCCACCGAAGGTACCAGTGCTACCGCCCGCGTGCGTCCCCCCCCACCCAGTACAGCGTTTCGTGGCCCCAGAGGGAGCTCCACCGACGGCCCTAGTGGCACCGCCCGCTTGTGCCACCCCGCAGCCAGTACAGCGCTTCGTGGCCCCATAGGGAGCTCCACCGAAGGCCCCAGGGGCACCGCCCGCATGCGTCACCCCCAACCCAGTACAGCGTTTCGTGACCCCATCGGGAGCTCCACCGAAGGCCCAAGTGGCACCGCCCGCATGCGCCACCCCGCACCCAGCACAGCGTTTGGTAGCCCCATACGCAGCTCCATCGAAGGCCCCAGGGGCACCACCCGCATGCGTCACACCCACCCAGCACAGCGTTTCGTGGCCCCATAGGGAGCTCCACCGACTGCCCCAGTGGCACCGCCCGCGTGCGTCACCCCCATCCAGTGCAGTGCTTCGTGGCCCCATGGGGAGCTTCACCGAAGGCCCCAACGGCCCCGCCCCACTGCGGCGATGACATTTTTCGCGGCCCCATAGTGCGTTCCGCCTAAAGCACCAGCGGCAGCGCCCACATGGCGGCCCCGCCCCGCATCGGCACACCATTCGCATGCTTCATGGCCCCATGAGGAGATCCCCCAGAGGCGATACCCGCAACGACGGCACTCACAACTGAATATGGTTGAGTCCTTCGCCACGAAAATGTTTTCCCGTTCCCAACTATCATGTGGATTTGGGTCCTCGTGTTGAAGAGACAGCGCCCCGCGTTCCTCCTTCTCCCTCCTCCCTCCTTCCTCCTTCCTTCCTCCATCCTTCGGTTTCTCCCATCCCTTGCCCACCTCACACGCTTCGTGGCCCCATAGGAAGCCCCACCGAAGGCCCAAGTGCTACAGCCCGCATGCGTCCTCCCCACCCGGCACAGCGTTTCGTGGCCCCATAAGGCATACGGGAGCCCCACCGAAGATCCCAGTGCTTCCGCCCGCATGCGTCCCCCCCACCCAGTAAAACGTTTTGTGGCCCCATACGGAGTTCCACCGAAGGTCCGAGTGCTACCGCCTGCATGCGCCCCCCCCCACCCCAGCACAGCGCTTCGTGGCCCCAGAGGGAGCTCCACCGCTACAGTTCGCATGCGTCCCCTCCACCCAGTACAGCGTTTCGTGGCCCCATAGGGATCTCCAACGACAGTCCAGACTAGTACTATAGGGGCCACCACCGAAGGCGCCACTGCTACCGCCCGCAAGCGTCCCCCAAACAACTATTGCGTTTCGTGGCCCCATGGGGAGCTCCACTGAAGGTCCCAGCGCTACCGCCCGCATGCGTCCCACCCACCCAGTACAGCGTTTCGTGGTCCCATAAGGCATAAGGGAGCCCCACCGAAGATCCCAGTGCTTCCGCCCGCATGCGTCCCCCCACCCAGTACAGCGTTCCGTGGCCCCATAGGGAGTTCCACCGAAGGTCCAAGTGCTATCGCCCGCATGCGCCCCCCCCCACCCAGTACAGCGTTTCGTGGTCCCAGAGGGCGCCGAAGGTACCAGTGGTACCGCCCGCATGCGCCCCCCCACACTCAGTACACCGTTTCGTGGCCCCACAGGGAGCTCCATCGAAGGCCCCAGTGGCACCATTCGCGTGCTTCCTACCCACCCTGTGCAGCATCTCGAGGCCCCATAGGGAGCTCCACCGAAGGCCCCAGTGCTACCGCCCGCATGCGTCCCCCCACCCAGTACAGCTTTTCGTGGCCCCATAAGGGATTTCACCGGCGGCCCCAGTGGTACAGTCCGCATGCGACCCCCCCCCACCCAGTACAGCGTTTCGTGGCCCCATCGGGAGCTCCACCGAAGGTCCCAGCGCTACCGCACGCATGCGTCCTCCACCCAGTACAGCGTTTCGTGGCCCCAGAGGGAGTTCCACCGAAGGTCCCAGTGGTACCGCCCGCATGGGCCCCCCTACCCAATTCAGCGTTTCGTGGACCCATAGTGAGCTCCACCGACGTCCCCAGTGCTTCAGCCCGCATGCGACCCCCCCACCCAGAACAGCGATTCCCCGCCCCACAGGGAGCTCCATCGAAGGTCCCAGCGCTACCGCCCGCATGCGCCCTCCACCCAGTACAGCGTTTCGTGGCCCCAGAGAGAGTTCCACCGAAGGTCCCAGTGGTACCGCCCGCATGCGTCCCCCTACCCAATTCAGCGTTTCGTGGACCCATAGGGATCTCCACCGACGTCCCCAGTGCTTCAGCCCGCATGCGACCCCCCCACCCAGAACAGCGATTCCTGGCTCCACAGGGAGCTCCACCGAAGGTCCCAGCGCTACCGCCCGCATGCGCCCTCCACCCAGTTCAGCGCTTTGTGGCCCCACAGGAAATTCTACGGGGGGTCTCTACTGGGCCCTCTTGGGCGCTTTCGGGCTCTAGTGTGGGGCGTCGTCGGGCCCGCGCATCTTACGCGCCCCTCCCCTGGCTGGCGGGGGCCAGCGGAATGGATTGCACTCCATTGCGATTGTCTTCCCACAGTTGACCACTCTGCGAATCGCAGCCTCGGAATTGAAAGGCAGGCGGGCTCGTGAGTTGTCCCCGGCCATCCTGTTGTGTTGGGTCCTCGTTTTGAAGAGACAGCGGCGCCCCACGTCTGATTCCTCCGCTTCCACCCCCTCCCTCTTCCCATCCCTGCCTTATTCTTCGCGTCAGTCTTCCATTTCGGTACACCTCTCTCACACGTTTCGTGGCCACGTGCGGAGCTCCACCGAAGGTCCCAGTGCTACCGCCCGCGTACGCCCCCCCCCACCCCCACCCACACAGTACAGCGTTCCGTGGCCCTATCGGGAGCTCCACCGAAGCTCCCACCGCTACCGCCCGCATGCTTCCCCCCTACCAGAAGCCCCGTCAGAAGCTCCACCGACGCTACAGCGCTCCGTGGCCCCATCAGAAGCTCCACCGACGCTCCCAGTGCTACCGCCCGCCTGCGTCCCTCCTCCACGAAGCACAGCGCTTCGTGGTCCCGTAGGGAGCTCCACCGAAGGTCCTAGCGCACCGCCCGCATGCGCCCCCCCCATCCCCCGGTACAGCGCTTCGTGGCCCCAGATGGAGCTCCACCGACGGCGCCTTTGGCACCGCCCGCATGCGTTTCCCCCACACAGTACAGCACTTCGTGGCCCTATAGAGGCCCCAATGGCACTTTCCGCTTGCGTTTCCTCCACCCAGTACAGCGCATCGTGGCCCCATACGGGGCTCCACCGAAGGCCCCAGTGGCAAAGTTCGCATGTGTCTCTCCTACCCAGTACAGCGTTCTGTGTCCCCATAGAGAGCTCCACCGAAGGTCCCAGCGCTACCGCCCGCATGTGCTTCTCCCACACAGTACAGCGCTTCCTGCCCCCATAGAGAGAGCTCCGAAGGTCCCAGTGGCACCGTCCGCATGCGTCTACCCCACCTAGTACAGCGCTTCGTGGCCCCATAAGGGGCCCCAGCGCTACCGCCCGCATGCGTCTCCCCCACCCCGTACAGCGGTTCGTGGCCCTATAGTGAGCTCCACCGACGGCCCCAATTGTACTTTCCGTACGCGTTTCTCCCACCCAGTACAACGCTTCGTGTCACAATAGGGAGCTCCACCGAAAGCAACAGTTGTACCGTCCGCATGCTTCCCCCCACACCCAGTACAGCGTTTCGTGATCCAGAGGGGCCCCACCGAAGGCCCCAGTGGCAAAGTCCGCATGCGTCTCCCCCAGCTGGTGCAGCCTTTCGTGGCCAATAGGGAGCTTGACCGAAGGCCCCAGTGGCACGGCTCGCACGCGTCTCCCCCGCCAAGTACAATGTTTCGTGGTCCATAGGGAGACCCACCGAAGACGATACCCACAACTCCGGTACCCAGAACTGCATATGGTTGGGCCCTTCGCCTGGCTATTTTTCTCCACCATCTTGTGGTGTTGGGCCCTCGTGTTGAAGAGAGCGCCCCGCGACTCCCTCCTCCTCCTCCTCCTCCTCCTCCTCCTCCTCCTCCTCCCCCCTCCTCCCTCCTCCCATCCCTACCACTGCTTTCTGCATCCGTCTACTATGCCGGCACAACCCTCACACGCTTCGTGGCCCCATAGGGCGCTCCACCGAAAACTTCCCAGTGCTACCGCCCGCATGAGTCGCCCCTTCCCAGTACAGCGTTTCGTGGCCCCATAAGGAATTTCACCGACGGCCCCAGTGCTACCGCCCGCATGCGTCCCCCCCACCCAGTACAGCGCTTCCTGGCCCCATAGGGAGCTCCACCGAAGGTCCCAGCGCTACCGCCCGCATGCGTCCCCCCCCACCCAGTACAGCGCTCCGTGGCCCCATAGGGAGCTCCACCGACGGCCCCAGTGCTACCGCCCGCATGCGTCCCCCCCCCAATACAGCGCGTCGTGGCCCCGTAGGGAGCTCCACCGACGGCGCCACTGACACCGTCCGCATGCGTTCTTCGCACCCAGTGCAGGGTTTCGTGGCGGTGCTCCACCACAGGTCCCAGTGGCATTTTCCGCATGCGTCTCCCTCACCTGCTACCAGCGCTTCAGTGACCCCATAAGGCGTTCCACCGAAGGCGTGAGTGGCACCGTCAGCATGCGTCTACCCTACCCAGTACAGCGCTTTGCGGTCCCATCAAGAGCCCCACCGAAGGTCCCAGCGCTACCGCCCGCATGCGTCCCCCAACCCAGAGGTGGCCCCACCGAAGGCCTCAATGGCACCGTCCACGCGTTTCCCCTCAGTGCAGCGGTTCGTGGCCCCAGAGGGAACTCCACCGAAGGCCCAAGTAGCAAAGTCCACACGCGTTACCCCCAGCGCTTCGTGGCCCCATATGGTGTCCCACCGAAGGCCCCAGTGGCACCGATCGCATGCGTTCCCCCCCATTCAGCACAGCGTTTCGTGGCCCATAGGGAGCTCCACCGAAGGCCCCACGGGCAAAGTTCGCATGATCTCCCCCACCCAGTACAGCGTTTCGTGGTCCATAGGTAGCCCCACCGAAGATGATACCCACAATCTCGGTTCTCACAACTGCACATGGTCGGGTCTTTCGCCAGGAAAGTTGTTTCCAGTTCGTGGGTCGATACAAAAGGTTTCACCCAGAGTGCTTCAACCTGAACCACTCTTCAGCGCGATTCGGGGATTTGTAACTTGGACAGCTTGGAACGACTTCCGGTGATTCCTGGCCCTCTTGGACCGTGGTGGGGGCCTCTTGAGACGCTGATAAAAGGCGCAGAAGGCAGCCCCCAGGAGTTCGGGCATCGGTGATGGGGAGCGCCCAGGGACCGCCCGGGATTCGCATGGGGTACTTTTCGTCCGCGGACCCCTTAGGGGCAGTTACGCGCGCGCGAACTAGAAATGTTGTAAAGCGGTTCCGGAGATTTTAGCACGCCTTTGGCCCGTTGGTTTGGCGCAGTGTAGTAGGCGGCTCGCTAGTGCACAGTCGTTGTCAGATTCAGACTCGTACCCCTGCTCAATCACACACACTTTGGCTCACACCCCAAGCTGCCCACACCGAAGCAGGAGGAATTCAGTTTTCTGGGAGGAGGAGAGAAGGAGGAGAGAAGGAGGATGTGGAGGATGTGGAGAATGGTCGGGGAAGAAGAGGTCCCCCGCTCCCTGGCGATTGTCTGCCTGCCTGCCCACTGGCGCCCGCAGGGTTTCGGCGACACCTGCGGCAGTTGCCGCAAGCTGACGCAGAGGCACTTGGGAGGGCGACGGACCCCTCCAACCAAAAACAACTTGGGGAGATCACCATTCTACGCCATCGCGAATTACTTTCCTGCTCTCATCCTCGGCCTCCTCCCCCTGCAGCCCTCTTCCTACTCCATCTTCCCCTACTTCCCTTCCTCTCCTCGTCCCCCCTTTTCTCCCCCTCCACCATCGAGCTCACTCGTATCCACAAGTTTTCCCCCTATTCGTTTTCCTTGTATTCTCCTCTTCGATAATGGAGAGCTCGTGTTTCCCTTCTCCCTCTTCGTCTGTGCTTCGCCGTGTTCTTGTCATGCTTGGTCTCGCTTCTCCGTTTGCCTGCGGAGGACGGCCAGGACACGAGGTGGGAGGAGGAGGAGGAGGAGGAGGAGGAAGAGGGAGGCCACGAGTAGGGAGGACGAGAAGATGGAATGGGCGGATACGGAATGACAGAGGAGCGATTCATTTGGCCCCGCTGTATAACCAGTCGTGGCACCCTGCAGCTGTTGGTGTTCATGCAGCGAACGAGCGAAGGCAGGAGAGCAGCTACTGGCGCACTCAGGACGATTCAAAAGACGGATTCCAAAGGGTTGTTTTTGAAACGAGCGTTGAGATCGAGACAGTGGAGGCCGTAAGTTGTTCGATTTCATGCCTGCGCTGATCGGTTTGAGCGGTTTTCGTGGCGGACGAGCGCACGTCTGGAGAGACGAGGGGACGAAGGATTGAAAGTCGTCTCGTCCGCAGTTTGATGCTCTATTCGATGCATGGGCAATTGCACTTGCCTGCCCTCCCCTCGCATACAACTACCTCTCCCCCCAGACAGCCCCACCAGACGTCGTGAGAAACAATAAAGCTTGTAGCAACAACGGATGTGTCCCCAGGTTGGACCAAGTGAGGCCCAAATGCGCCGCATGTGCCGCATGCGCCCACGTGTGTGATCCACTTGCGACGTTGGTGAGGCTTGACGTGCTCCAAGTGTATTTCACAGGTGTGCGAACATGTATCGCCCATCTTACGATACACTTCTGCATCCCTGTGTCCCCCCTCCTGATGTTCCTGCTCCCCGCCTTCCTGCTCCTCATCCGTCTCATGCGCACTTAGCCGCTCCCCGAGCTGCGAGCCTGTTGATAGCTCACGGGGTCTGCATCCGACGAGACTCATGCTGTTCTGTCTCCCGGTGCAGGGCCAGTCGGGACAGGGCTGCCATCCCCAAATCCGCTCGACTTCGGTCCACGTACCCTTCCTGGGTCCTGTTTTCTGAGGTGGATCCAGCCGTAGCGACGAGAAGCCTCCAGAAGTCCCCACAGGCACGAATCACGCCAGGCAAGGCGCCGACGCTGCCTGGACTGGCCCTCCTCCGAGTCTCTGGTCCTCCGTGTCTGCAGGCCTCCCAACTTTGGGTCCTGGTAGATGAGGTCGGAGGATCGCGCCGCATTGCCGACGCTGCGCCAGTTCATCGGCGGTGTCCGGCGACGTCGTCGATGCATCGACGCGGTTGGCGTGGAGAAGATCGGGCTCGCACCGAAACGCATCGCCGATAGCTCGGCGATGCGGCACGACCCTCCGACACCTTCTTCTCTGAAGGGCCCATTTTCCTCCACCACTACCATATGTAGGAGAGGGAGGAGGAGGAGAAGGAGGAGGATGAGGAGGACCTCTCATCCTCCCTTGGTGGCAAAGTTGCCCATTATACTCGGACCCCGTTCAAGAGGAGGGGGTAGAACGTTTTCGTCGTCGAAGGGGGTGGGCAGAGCAAGTTGCCGTTGGTTCTTGGAGGGGTCTTCTCGCCTCGGTGGTGCTCTCCGGCAAGCTGCTCCCTCGGCGATCTTTTTTTGCGGGGGAGCATCCGGATTGCCCCAAGCGGCCACCAGAGGCCCGAGTTATCGGGGGTGCACAGACCCCCCACCCCGACACGTCGATTAGTGAACTGTCCGTTTCCAGTTCTCGAGCGGGCGCCTCGGCCGTCATTCTCCAGGCCTGTGCCCGCCAGGTTTGGGCCCGAGGTCGCTTTCACGAAAGCACGTTTTACTAGAGGGGGTTCTGTCCATCCCCGAGACAGGCGAAGAGGATCAGGAGGGCCACGGTCGGAGATTGACGCTCAGTTTTGTCGCTCCTTCCGGGCTTGGCCCACCACCCTTGGGCGCGGCATGCTGTCCACATCCTGGCCCCCAGGTGTCAGCGTCCCGAACCATCCCCGAGCCCTTCCCGGAGCGGCCCGCCCCACGGAGCGGAGCAGCGACGCGCGGCCCGCTTCCGCGGTGCAGCGCGTCGCCGGGGCCGCCGCCGCGGCGCCCGGAGGCACAGGTTTTGTCCCGGCCGTGGGTGCCGAGGCTTTTTTCGGGAGCCTCGAGACGGGGGTCAGTGCAGACGGGGGTCAGCCAGGGCGCAGGATCCTGCAGGATCCTGCGAGGACCCCCTCTGGCGGACCCGGGTCAGCGAGCCGAGCCGCTCGTGGCCGCGAGGCGGCCGCGCCTACTGGCTGACCCGGGTTTGCGAAGACCTGCGCTGCAGTTTTTTGTCTTGCATTGCAGTTTTTGGTTTCCTGCTGACCCGGGTCTGGATTGACCCGGGTCAGAAGATCTCTGATTTTTGTGGATCTCGGAAGCCATCGAGCTGGCGCATCGGGCCCCAGGGGACTGCCGACAGATCAGCGCGCGATAAAGGCAGGCCTTGGGGAAGGGGTCGGGCTTTCGTTGTCGTCGGTGTCGGCGGCGTCGTCGTCGGCGTCGGCGTCGGCGCCGTATTCGGCGTCGTCGGCGTCGGCGTCGGCGTCGGCGTCGTCGGCGTCGTCGTCGTCGTCGGCGGCATCGTTGCGGTCGTCAGAGTCTTTGGCGTCGGCGGCGTCGTCGGCCACGCCTGCTCGCGCGGGCCGTCCGGCTGCTCGCTCCCCCTCGCCTCTGCCGCAGCCTCGGGGGCGCTCCCTCTGCAGTGGCGCGGCCCTCCAGCCCGGGAGCCGCCCTCTCGGACGGCACAGAGGGGGGGGAGGAGGGAGGGTCGACGAGGATGAGAGCGACGATGGAGGGAACGAAAATATCCAGAGGATAAGCCAGTACCCATACCCCTGCATGTTCCTCGTTTTCGGGTGTTTGGGGGCCTCCTGGGGGGGCCCTCGTCGCCACCGCTGGATTCGCCTCAAAACCCGCGTCAGAGTGCACCCCGGGAGATGTCCAGGAGTAGCGGTATCGGTACCTCTTGGTTTCCCAAAATATGGATCAAGGCAACGTGGATTAGCCTTAAGTCGGGCTTGTCCCTCTACAGGGGGAATATTCAAAAATAGTAAAAAATAGTCTGGGGATTTTTTTTGATCACTTTTTAAGTATTTTGGTGTATGTTTTGAGTATTTTAATTTTTCGCCCGAAATCCCCCTGTAGGGGGACACGCCCGACTTAAGGTTAGCCACGGGTCCCACTTCCATGCGAAATCGGCGCGCTCCGTCGCCATAGACGGCAGCCGTCTCACGTTCCGGCGGCACCATCTCCGACCGGCACCAGATCCACGGGTCTCTAATCCATGTCAGCGTTTACCAGCCTGGAACATATCCCTATCCCTATGCTGGGCATCGCCTCATCACAATGCCAATCTCAGGGATTCCATTAGTTGTTCATGGCGCATCCCTAAGATTGTCATCGCCTTTTGGCGTGTCAATCTTAGGGATAGGGATCAGTTCGAGGCTGGTAAAGCGTGCGCCCGAGACGAGGAGGTCTGAGAGAACTGCGTGCGTGCGGGCGTTCGTCCGCTCCCTAGCGATAACGGGCGCGACCGGGGAAGGAAGGGGGAGTCGGCTGGTCACGTCACTGTTGGCGCCGGCTCCGTCTGGGAATGCTTCGGAATGCTTCATTCCCAGAGGGCGCCGGCGCGAATCCTGACGTGACCAGGGGGTAGTGGAGGAAGGGGGGATGGGGCCGGCCACATTCTTTATGACGAATCATAGGCTCACGGGCTGTTTTTGGAAGCCACATTCGACTTTCCAAGACCCGTGGTTTTCTGATTTTTGTTGGAAATCGCACTCGACATGCAAGAACACGCAGCTCTCTCAGAGCGACGACGAGGAGGAGCAGGAGGAGGAGCAGGAGGAGGAGCAGGAGGAGGAGGAGGAGGAGGTCGACGAGGAATACGGTCAGGATTTTTGGCACAGCGTGTCCGGCCGCCAGATCTGGCCCGCCGTCCTTCGGCGCGACACGCCAACCGCGCCCCCGTCCCCAGCCGTTAGCGTCCTGAGCTTCTCCCCGTTCTCCGCCCCGCGAAGCGGGGCCACACGCTGTCCGCTTGCAGGGCACGGAGTGTCGCCGGGGCCGCCGCCGAGACACGCTGAGCAAGAGTTCCCGGGCGCATGCCGCGCTCGCAAGCACAGAGGAGGAAGTGAGGACTTGGCATCGCTCGGACGTGTGCATTTTTCCTTCTGCGAGGGCCATCGAGGAGCATCCTTGATCATTTGGCGAAAAAACCACGCACGAAACCAACAAAAACATAGGGAATGGACGTCCGAGCGATGGCGAGAGGGAGGATGAGGGGGAGGAGGATCAGGACGTGTTTGCAATCGACGGCAGCATGCAGCCCACGAGCTTCCACCCCAGAAGGACGGTCATGCCTTTCAGGGGCCGCCCTTTTGAACTGCAGGAGCGTGAACGGCCGTCTTGGAACGGGGAAACAGAGAGAGGCTGGGCGGCGACGCGGGAGCGGGTCGATATCCCACCCGCTTTTTTTCCTGAAACGCGCACTTGAGCCACACGATTGCAAACCCTTGAATACTGAGCATTCACCCGGCAACGTGACTATACAAGTGGAAACTCACTGAAACAACTCTGGGGACCTCTTGGGACATGGGAGATGGGAATATGTAAGACAGTGCCCCCCACTTTTGTGTCCCAAGAGGTCTCATCTTGAAACTGGCCGAGAGGGCTCTAGCGGCGAAGCCCGCCCTCCCCACCTTCCCCTCGAGCTCCCGACGGCCCCCCCCCCGGTCGGGTCTCGGGTCGTAGGGTACTGGGCTCGGATTTCCCTCCGCCTGTGC